CTGGGGAGCTGGAGCCCAGAGGGTCACTATCCAATCTCTATCCATCTCTATCCCATCTCTATCCATGGAGAATCAGTGGGCCTCAGACTTAGGTTTAAATCCTTGGGTTTAAACTCAGCTTATGATCTGATGCACACTGACTATGAAATGCGCCCCATTTGAATTCAGAAGGATGATATCTGGAGCAGTCTTTTCATGCTCATGTTACAGTGGTACCTTGGTTTACAACCATAATCTGTTCCGGAGGTCCGGTTGTAAACCAAAACAGGTTGTAACCCAAGGTACGCTTTCACCAATGGGGCCTCCCCCCCAAAAAATTGGTTGTAATAAAAAAACCCCGGGTTGTAATCCAAAAAAAGGGACACACACTTCCAGGTTTGACGTGGTTGTAATCCAAAACAGTTGTAATCCAAAGCTGTTGCAAACCAAGGTACCACTGTATATCAAATTTTGAATAGCCCAGAAGCTTTCAAATTCTGCCCATCCACAAGAAGTGAAAAGCGCCTGTCATCACATCCGTTTAAACGCAACCAGTAATCTTAACCCATATCTGATGAGCCCTAAAAAAACCTCATTACTGAGGATCCTTGAACAAAACATTATTAAACCATTTATGAAGACCGAAACAATGGAAACATTTGATTTCACCTTTAAAATACCTAGGGAAGGTTGTCGAGATAATCTTAAAGGGGATGGGGACCTTTCTGCAAAATTCCTTTAAAGTGGCAATAGAAGCAAAACTTCCCCTGTTTAAAAGATGTTGTTATGCTACACCAATGAATTAAGGCTTATTGTTTGAAAGTAGAGCAGTGAAGGGGTTCTTAGATCTTCCTCCAGCAGTGAGATGATTTCGCATGCAGGGTCTTTCATTATTCCTCTTCAACCCACTCATCATCAAAGAGCATACTTAATGTCATTTTGATGTTTCCAGCTGCCTTTTTCTTTCTTTTAAGGGTTGAGTGATTGGACACGTGTGTGTGTGTGTGTGTGTGTGTGTGTGTGCGTGCTCATGTTCAGCCCCTGCATACTTCTGACACAAAATACCCAAGGCAATGTGATGGATATAAGATGGTAAGTCCATTCTTCTGACATCACTGCTTATGATAAAACGAGGTGTATGTTTCTCCTTTTGGAAGAGATAGGTGGACATTGTCAATCTGTTTTTTGGGGTTTTTTTAAAAGATATTTATTAAAAGTTTAACCATTACAGAAAAAGAGGAAAAAAAGAAAACAGTAAAAAATTACAATACATTACATCAAAAGAAAATAAAAACCAGATTAAAAAAGGAAACAATGCAGCACAACAATAAAAACAAAAAAACCCAAAAACAATTAAAAACAAAAAAACATGCAAAAACACATCCAATATTCCTTATCTTTACCTTTCATTCACCTGTTTCATCGACCTCCTCACACCTCCCTTTTTGTATTCTAGTTCAGTTAACTATTTCAGCAAATTCTTTCCATCTTTCTCAACTTTTATTCTATAATTTATCTTAACAGTCTAACCTTTAATTTTTCCATTTTATTACATTTCTGTTAAAACCATATAGCTTCATTCCAACATCTTTCTAACATTCATTAATTTTGCAATGTTTTTGTAAATATACTTTAAATTTTTTCCAATCTTCTTCCACCAACTCTTCTCCCTGGTCTCGGATTCTGCCAGTCATTTCCGCGAGTTTCATGTAGTATATCAGGGACATTGTCAATCTGAGCAATATCCCCCACCCCCCATGAAGTTCTATTTCAAGTTAACATGTTCCAAACTATTTGTGGCAGAGTCCTTACACTCTGGCCTCATGAAAAGGTAATCCAAACTAGTTGGGGGTTGGGGAGGAAGTCACATAATTTTGAAGATGCATCACTATTTTCAGATGAACTTCTCATCGACAGCAGTTTAAAAAAAACAAAAAACTGTTGTCAATTTTAAACCAGACTGTTTTAAAACTGATTTCTCTTTAAAATGCAAATGGCAGAAACTGTGATGTTTCCAATATAAAGCACGCTGTCCAAAATGTCAGAATGACACACTTCAGGAATGACATTGTAAGCTGACTTTTTTTTTTAATGCTGGTTTTCTTAAGCAGATACTAAAAATGTCAGAAACATCAACAATTTTAATTATATATGTTCCATTGGAGGAGTAAAGGCACATAAAAATGTAGTAGATTTTCCAAATAAATAGCTAATATTTCTGCGCTTAAATCCTTAGCGTGTTTTCTTATGAAGTATTCAATGGGATTACTTATTATTAAGTATTAAATAGGATTGCAACTTCAAAATCTTAAAAAGAAGCTTACTAAGGATGCATATATCAGTGGATTTATATATTCCTTTGTTCTAATTATACAATTATATTTTCATATTATACAGTTTGACTGATAATTTTTATTGCTGTGGCAATAAAAATTCAAAGTTATGGAAGATGCATCAAGAATGCATCAAAGACAACTCCTATGTGCATTATAGACATACAACTGGATACTGATTCTTATACATACCACTGCGTAAAGTTGCCTGCCCATTTTGCACGCCACTAGAATGGCTAACAATGACGTTAACTAAGAGCAAATTATTCAAAGTAAGATGAATTGAGCTCTTCATCACCTTGACTGACAGATCTTGTTAACTTGTCTGTAGAACCCATGAATCTTGTTATATTCAGTTTTTGTTTTTGTTTTTTTAAATGATATTTATTAAGCATTTTAAAGTTACAGAAAAACAAAGAGACAAAGAAGAAGAAAAAACAAGGGAAAAGCAAACAGCAGTCAAACAATACAAATCAATAAAAATAAGAAAAAAACAAAGACAAAACACATCAAAATCCAAAAAACAAAAGTAAACCACAAACATTTAAAAACAGATCCAATATTCCCAAATCCTTAACTGTCATTGCCTTATTTCATCGACCTCCTCACACCTCCCTTTTTTGTATTCCAGTTATTAATTATAACAGCAAATCCTTCCCATTTTTCATAATATTCTGTCATTAAATTATCTTAATCTATTTTAACCTTATCTTACTATAAAAGACCCTAGAACTTAAAACTTAAATCTTATTTATACCAATTTCTCATAACCATAACATATTCTTGCATAGTTCTTTTTAACATTTCTGCTAAAGCCAGATAGTTTCGTTCCAACATTTTTCTAATACTCATTAATTTTACAGAACAATCCTAAATAAAAAAATTTTTAAAAACTTTCTTCCAATCTTCATCCAACGTCTCTTCTGCCTGGTCCCGGGTTTTGTCAGTCCTTTCTGTCCCATCCATCTAGTTCATTAACCTGGTAATCTTATGTCCAAGGCCCTTAAGTCTCTTCCATGTCCCTTCCGCAGATCTTCTTCATATTTATACCTGTACTTTACTTTGTCTCCTGGTCCTTTCACTCGTGGAAACTCCAACTTGACAGTATTTTTGTCCCTTCTCGACAGATCAGCCCCTTTTCCATAATCCACACTGAACTCCATGTGGTATTTAAAAGCATGTTTCAAAGTCCCTCCAAAGTTGAGGACCCCCACAACCCCAAACTCCTCACGGCCCATTGCCAGACTTGAAAAGTCAAGACATCCCTGCATAGGGGGGTCTATCCAGCCCCCCATCTCCAAGCCCAACAAAACTCTATCTCTCCAAATCTGGCTTTTTCCAAGTTCATTTGTCAAATCCAACAACTCATGTTCCTGCTGGGCCACAGCTCCCTCCATCTCTGCCACCCGAGGTCCAACAACAATCTCCTCCCTCATCTGATCTGTCAGAGCACACTCCTGAGTTGATTCCTGGGTGGGTTCTATATAGATACCCACTACCTGTCCAAAATTTCTAATCGCAACAGTCATCAAATCCGTCTTCTCATGTAACTGTTCCAATAAAGCACTTGTCTTACAGAAAGCATGCACCAGAGCCTCTGAATACATTGTTATGCAAGGTCAGAAGTCTGTTCCCACGATCTTAATCTGTTTGCAGCTGCGAAGCTCCCCAGTTCAAGTTTAATAACAGTTTCACAAGCTCCCTCTAGGGGAAGAACTTCTATTTGTATCAATCTCTTTTCTTTCTTTTTTTTAACAGCAGATCTAACAACAAAGTTTCCTTTTTCAGATATTTTGTCAGTATTTGTTCCTTTAAAATGCGAAAGAGAACAATGGAATCACTATGTTTCTCTTCTTTTAACTATCTGTCAAAAACATTTCTCTATAGCCAATGAACTTCCCAAAAACGTCTGTCCTGACATCCCGCTCCCAGGTTCAAGATGGTGGAAAATTACTTTTCTTTACACTCTCTCCTGCAAGTTTAAACCATCCGGAAAAAATCCCCCCTCTTCTCCTGCTTCCGAAGGGGGTTCAGTAGTTTTAGATGATGAAAGTTGATCCTTTACAAACGATTTTCTGAACTCTAGTTTGCCATGTCTTTGCTTTAATCTATCTACAAGAAACGGAAGGCTGACTTCCTGTTTAGACCTTCCCGCTTCAGTGCCAAATTAAGAAGAATTTCCTAATCCAATTTTCCCTTCTACTCACAGATCGTTGTTTAAAGTCCAATTGTCCAAATTTGATCTGCTCACGGGTAGTTGTTTTTGTAACCAAATTGTCCCAGGAAAAAGGTAGCGCTCTCCGGCAACGGCTGTGTGGCTTCGCTCCACGGAAGAAGCAGTTGACTCTCAGCACTGCGCCACTAGCCCCTCTTCGCTCCGGAGCCCGTAGTTGGGTTCCTTTACGGATTGGGGGGGCGCAAAAGGTGCCCGCCGAGTCCCATGGTCACAGACTTCCTCCGCCTGTGATTTTTTGAAGGGTCCCCGCTTCGCCGTAGCAGAACAGACCCGTTTTCCATGGAGCCAGTCCCTCCGGATCAGAGGGAGTCCACCATTACCGATGGCGCCACCCCGGAAGTTGTTATATTCAGTTTTTGGATGGCATTTCTTATCTACCCTTCACCACATGGTTCCAGGGTGAGTTACAATAACACAATAATGCAGTATTGAAACCAGTTAAAACATTTCCCACCAAAGGGAATAGCTCAGTTGGTAGAGCGTGAGACTCTTAATATCGGGGTAGTGAGTTTGAGCCCCACGTTGGGTGAGAGATTCCTGCGATGCAGAGGGTTGGACCAGATTACCCTTGCAGTCCCTTCCAGCTCTATAAATCTGTGATATCTGAATAATACACAGCAAAAGGATGGTGGTGACAATCCAAGAGATCCTTCTTAATAATAATAATAATTTATTATTTATACCCCGCCCATCTGGCTGGGCTTCCCCAGCCACACTGGGCGACTTCTAACAAAATATTAAAATACAGTAATGCATCAAACATTAAAAGCTTCCCTAAACAGGGCTGCCTTCAGATGTCTTCTAAAAGTCTGGTAGTTGTTGTTCTCTTTGACATCTGTTCGGAGGGCATTCCACAGGGCAGGTGCCACTACCGAGAAGGCCCTCTGCCTGGCTCCCTGTAACTTGGCTTCTTGCAGTGAGGGAACCACCAGAAGGCCCTCGGCGCTGGACCTCAGTGTCCGGGTAGAACGATGGGGGTGGAGACGCTCCTTCAGATATACTGGGCTCATCCACACTTTTACTTGCCCTGCTGTTTACCGCTGAATCAGAGCAAATGTCCGGACAGGGGTGGTGGAAGGGGGATGATGGGGGCGGTCCACCCCCCAGTGTCACCACTGAGGGGGTGTGACAAAATGTCGGGCGGCACTCACCACGGGGCCTGCAGCGCACCCGAGCCACGCATCTCTCCTGGGAGTGCTGCGGTGGCTTGGGCACGAGCAGGCTCAGCGCTGCCCAAACGGTCCGTCTGCTGCCTCCCCTCCAGCAGTAGGGCGGCTGAGTGGAAGGGAAACAGACTCCTTGGAGGCCCCACAGAGTCCCCTGCCTGGGCCCCACCCGTGGGCACAGGGCACGCGCACAGCCCCAGGCGTCTGATCGGCTTGTTCCACCGCTGTCTCCGTATTGATGTTTGCTAAGATTTAGCACTAAAGAGTGGGCTTTCTAGGGTTGGGTGAGGCAGGGAAACTGAGGCACAAAAGCAAATCTGCTTCGACCCGTACCTAGAAAGAATTGGATAAGCAGAAAACCTCACAGACCCATGCTTGTGAGTTGAGGAACCGCACCTGCGTGGTGGTAAATAAGAGACGAGGACACAAGAATTTTAGATTAATGGGCTGAAAAAGGCCACAACTTTTATTGGTTACAGCATGTGAGTGGTATTGGCTTAGGCAGTGGATAAAAAACCTGTACATGATCCCACCCGCACAGCGGAGGGTCTTTTGACGGTTAACAAACAGTGGGAGGAGCTTGTTGATGCAAATACAACTGGAAGCTTCCCCTGATGTCACCGGGGGTCGTGCCATGGCCCTAGCCACCAGCAGGGCATTGGACAGGATCCACGACCGCCGGATTCCTTTAACGGAATATCCAAAAGGGGAGGGCTAGGTGATGGCCAAACCCCACCCACCAACGCACAACACATATTCCAATGCCTAACTGCCAATACTGGAAAAGTTGTGACGAATTGCTACGAGGTAAGTGAAAAACCAAGAGGCTGCTGCCAATTAGCCAAATGGATAAAAACTCCTACCAGGCCACCTGGGCAACCAGGGCAACCAACCAAAGTCCATTTGTTGTTGTTTAGTCATTTAGTCGTGTCCGACTCTTTGTGACCCCATGGACCAGAGCACACCAGGCATTCAATTTCAGTTTCTTTAGCACCAGTAGTTGGTGCATAAACCTGGATTACTGTGATGTTAAAAGGTCTGCCTTGGATTCGTATTGAGATCATTCTATCATTTTTGAGATTGCATCCCAGTACAGCTTTCGCCACTCTTTTGTTGACTATAAGGGCCACTCCATTTCTTTTATGGGATTCATGCCCACAGTAGTAGATATGATGGTCATCCGAACTGAATTTGCCCATTCCCATCCATTTTAGTTCACTGATGCCCAGGATGTCAGTATTTATTCTTGCCATCTCATTTTTGACCACATCCAACTTATGCAGGTTCATGGTTCTTACATTCCAGGTTCCTATGCAATATTTTTCTTTACAGTATTGGACTTTCCTTTCGCTTCTAGGCATATCCATAACTGAGCGACCTTTCGACTTTGGCCCAGCCGCTTCATCAGCTCTGAATCTACTTGAAATTGTCCTCCACTCTTCCTCAGTAGCATGTTGGATGCCTTCCGACCTGAGGGGCTCATCTTCCAGCGTCATAACTTTTATATGCCTGTTGACTTTGTCCATGGAGTTTTCTTGGCAGGGATACTGGAGTGGCTGCCGGTTCCTGCTCCAGGTGGATCATGTTTGGTCAAAACTCTCCACTATGACCTGTCGATCTTGTAGAGAGTTTTGACCAAACGTGATCCATAGCAAGGTCAAAAGCATGAACCTGGCCTAAAGGGCAGGTGGGCGGGTGATCTGTTGTCTTCCGAGGGCTGAATGAGGCACGGAGGCTGCCGCGGCCACTTGAATGTGGCTAAGCCCCTCCCCCAGACCAGCCCTATTGGCTGGCCAGCCGAGGGGGCGGTGCGGCAGCCAGGAGATGACGCAGGGGGCCGAACACGCCCCCCTGCTGCCACAGGAACGGTTCCCGCTCACAATACCTCCCCTCTGTGAGGAGGAGAGGCTTTTCTAGACATGGGATGAGCAGAGAAAATGTCTATGCATTCCCCATTTTTCTTTAGCAGCTGTGCTTGGGGCAGTGTGTGCAATTTAGGGCCTAAATATATGTGACATTAACAACAGGATTAGCTATCACGTAGCATATGAGAGCTAATCAGATTTAACTTTAGCTGGAGAGAGTTACAGAGTTACAATGACTTTCGCTTGGGTTATGCCCAATGTTTCTTTTTTTGTAGCGAGAGATTCAAAGTTTTAAAATATTATTATTAAAAAGTTGTTTGCGTATGTATCTATCAAGGGGACTGGTGACCCACAGTAAGAATAATTGGGTTTTGATTTTCCAGGAAGCTCTTCGTGTTTATGTGAGAAAAACGTTCGGAGTAATAGAGTCCCAGGAGGCAAAGTTTCAGCTGAACCTAGAGAAGAATTCGGATTAGATTCTCTAGAGAGATGAGAGTCTAATTGCTATTGAAGACAATGTCTACTTAAGGCAGATGCTGGTGAATTAGCAAAACTTCTAATAGGCAGAGTTAATATAAAGCCTGAATTATTTTTCTTCTAGCAGCTCCATGTGGGTTCTGCAAATGGTTCTGGCTGCCCAGGATTCCTTTTGTTTCTCTGCAAAGGGTCCAGCTACAGACCTGCATCAACTCTTTTCTCAGGAGGAATACACTTGGGAAATGCTTTCCTGTTCCCAGAGAAATGGCTTTGGTGTGAGGCGCCATTTATTTCAGTCACAAAGAAGCAATTAATGTTCACCAACCAACCCCAAATGCCTGGAACAGAACTGAAAGAATGGGAGGCGGTTTCCACTTTTGCCTTGTATCGGTAGAGATAAGAAGTAATGAATTGTGCTTCTCCTCTGAAGCATTGTGGTGCACAGAAATTGCACCCATCGCAAATTTCTGAAATATGTACTTTGGAAACAGCCCAAATGCACTAAGCATCTATTTTAAAAAATGCTCCAGATGAGTCATGGGAAGAGAAATGCAGCAGTTTGTTGTTTTTGCTCAAACAGTGGAATGAATTGGAGAATAATTTCTCTAAAAACAGAACTCTGAAAGCCTGTTGTTTAAACACACAACATATGCACAGTTATTACTTATGTGTGCTTCATAAGATCTATGAGATATCTGACCTGCTGCAGGGGTATGTATTGTAATTTTGTCCAGAGTTTAAATACCACTACAGTGGTACCTCGGGTTACATATGCTTCAGGTTACAGACTCCGCTAACCCAGAAATATTACCTCGGGTTAAGAACTTTGCTTCAGGATGAGAACAGAAACTGCAACGGTGGCACAGTGGCAGCAGGAGGCCCCATTAGCTAAAGTGATGCTTCAGGTTCAGAACAGTTTCAGGTTAAGATCGGACCTCCGGAACGAATTAAGTACGTAACCAGAGGTATCACTGTATTTTGTTACTTGCAGAGTCTGATTCTTTTCCCCAGCAGAGAAGGCATTTAATTTCACACAGAGCCAGTGTGGTGTAGTGGTTAAGAGCGGTAGTCTCGTAATCTGGGGAACCGGGTTCGCGTCTCCGCTCCTCCACATGCAGCTGCCGGGTGACCTTGGGCCAGTCACACTTCTCTGAAGTCTCTCAGCCTCACTCACCTCACAGAGTGTTTGTTGTGGGGGAGGAAGGGACAGGAGAATGTTAGCCGCTTTGAGACTCCTGAAGGGGAGTGAAAGGCGGGATATCAAATCCAAACTCCTCTTCTTCTTCTTCTTCTTCTTCTTCTTCTTCTTCTTCTTCTTCTTCTTCTTCTTCTTCTTCTTCTCTGCTAGTGACCATTACCACATGCAATGCAGAACTGCAATCTGACCCCTTTCAGACCTGGCAGCTGTACCTTTTAAAATGCATGCATAGAGGGGGAAAATGTTGCCAAGTACCATTCCCCTCTCCCTTCCTATATGACTCTTAAAGGTACAGAAGGCCTCTTCAGATCTACCTCTCTCACACAGCCCTAATGGCGATCCACTGTATATCTTCATGGGCAATAGACAGAGCCAAGAACCAAGGAATCGCTTCTGAATCAAATTTCTGTGGCACATATTTTGAAATGGAAGTCACACACACAAATGCTAAGGAACGCGCACACAGCAATTCTGCTCTGCAGAAAGGTTGATTTAATTTGCTCTATAACAGCTTTGCCCTGTGTTTACTTTCCTTCGCCGACTCAAACGGGAGCAGACCCTGAAATGGATTTAAAATGGATTTCATCCCTGCTTTTAAATTAGGCAGTGCTACAAATGTCTCCGTAACAGTCTTTGTGAGATCATGAATATAATGTGATAAATGCCCCTATTCCAGAGGCTGCAGAGACTCCTTATGGATTATGCTAAAGGTACTTCGCTTACAATCCATTCTGCTTAAAGCTCATCAGTTGTGTGCAGTGATCCTGAACTGTGATTTAACATGTACAAGCTTAAAGACCTCTTCTTCCTCCTCCTCCTCCTCCAAAACAGCTTAAGGATCATTGGCTGTTGGGCAAATTGCTTTATAAAATCTGGGTGCTCTAGGCGTGCATTGCAAGGATGCGTGAATCAATTTTGTGTTTGTTTTCCAAATTGCAACACAATGCTGGTTTCCCTCATCTTCACTAATAAACATATTCCGAATGATGATGTCTGACATTGATAAACCATCACTCCACCTGCCTGGAACCTGATGTTTGAATTTGGTTTATGCAACTCAGGGGTGCTGTAATGGCAGACAGAGTGGCCGATAAACCCAAGTTTATCAAACCTTTGCATATTAACAGCCTTGCTGATGGAAGCCATTAAATATGATAGACTTAATGGCTTCCTGTTAACAAAACCACACCGCCAGGAACAGAAGGGAGCTGAGAGATGGCCTCCCATATAACTTGAGGCTTCTTTCTGAAGCTGCATTTGTGTGTCTCCCTGCAAAAATAAACAGGGTCATATAATGGGCAATTGTTGTCATTCCATTTGCTGCAGACATGACATCACCCACAGGTCTTCGAAGGCAGCCTCAGGCCTTGTGCTGAAATTCCTTTGGAAATGCAATGTAAGGATTGTGCAAGAGGAGGTTGCTGGGAGCTCTCTTTGCGATGACATCTTCTCAAGAGAAGCCAGTTCCTCTCAAGACAAAGCAGTGCTTAAAGTCCTCCTCTCTTCCATGTCCGAAACTAACCAGTCCACGTCCCGTCCCTCTGGTTTGAATTCTCATTCAACCACATAGCTCACAAGGTGGCTTTGGGCTAGTCACTATCTAACCTACCTCACAGAGCCATAACTCAGTGGTAGAGCATGTGCTTAATATGCAGAAGTTCCCAGGTTCAAACCTTGGCACCTCCAGGAAGGGCTGGGAGAGACCTTTGTCTGAACGATTCCCCAGAGAACCACTGCCATTCAGTGTAGGTGCTCCTGAACTTGATGGACCAATGGTCTGACTCAGTCTGCATTCTCGGTCCTGTATCCACCCCCATCGTTCTACCCGGACAATGAGATCCAGCACCAAGGGCCTTCTGGTAGTTTCCACACTGCAAGAAGTAAAATTACAGGGAACCAGGCAGAGGGCCTTCTTGGTAGTGGCCACCACCCTGTGGAATACCCTCCCATCAGATGTTAAGGAGGTGAGTAGCTATATAACATATAGGAAACATCTGAAGGCAGCCCTCTATAGGGAAGCTTTTTAAGGTTTAATGTTTTATTATGTTTTTGTATATGCTGGCCAGACTGGTGGGGGCAACCCAGTCAGATAGGTGGGGTACAAATAATAATAAATTATTATTATTATTATTATTAAGCTCCTAAGGGTGGTATAAAAATAAATGTTGTCTTCCTCCCTTAGCTATATATTTTTGCACAGATTCCTTCCACCCTTCTGGCAGCACATTTAACCACAGGATGTTTTGAGGAGCGAACAACGGTAAACCTATTCACACAAGGCTCAATATGTTGTCGAACCTTTGGACAGTGACAGATGAGAAAGCACGGGAGGTCCAGAAAGACTTGTCTGCACTGCAATCTGATTAATATGAAGCAGGGGTAGAGGAGTGCTTTGCGCTTAACACACTGGGTAACCTGACTCCAATTATCATCTCGGCCGAAGGAACAATGAGATGCACGATGCCAAACACAGAGCTATGAGGACATGGTTGATCATTGAAAGCCAGCTTTGGTATTCCCTGTCTAAAGAAAACACTCCGTAACAATCAGAAACACCTGCATAATGTCTCGCAGAACACAGGAATATAATGAACACGTGAGTCATGCTCAGACAGTTTGTGCCTGATAGAAATGAACTATAATTTGGCAGCTCGGGTGCTTTTGTTTGGTGGTCGTTTGGGAACGGGAAGGCGGGGCGGTGTGTGTTTGTGTTGGGGGAGAAGGAGGGAGTGATTGCTTTTTCTCCTGTCTGACAAGGCCTGTGGCAGTGGACACGAGCAGGCAGTCTAGAGAAGCTGGCAAGGGGAAATGTCTCCTTTCAACAACAAGGGCCAACTTCCGATCAAAGCCAAACCAGCAGCGAACCCTGCGGCAGGAGCATCCACCTGCCACAACCTTGCGCCTTTGAGTTTCTAAGGAGATGAGAGGGCTCCATCATTCACTCTGCAGGAGCAGGAAGCAAAAAGGCATTGTGTGTGTGTGTGTGTGTGTGTGTGTGTGTGTGTGTCAGTTCAGCTCTGTGCCCAAGAAAACCTCCAAATGTGCTTTGCAATTAGCTAGGTAGCTATTCAGCAGGTTGACAGTGTTAGGCATTTCTTTGTATATGCTTTATTCCATCCCCCCGCCCATTGGAAGTGCATTTTTCAGGAATTCCTTGTGGCTTTGGTCTCTGCACTGCAATAAGAAACAAAGAAAAGCTTGCAACCTAAATTTCACAGGTGGGTTGGCGGGAGACAAGGGACAGAAGAATGGGTTGAATCTGAGCTTTGTTTCAATTGTGGTGGTGGATTAAGGGTTAGGCCAAACACGTCATGGGAAATGGAGATTACATTCCTCTATAGATGCATTAAATGCGAAGAGGAAATGTTGTAGCATGCTTAAAATCTCAGGAATTGGCGTGAGCTGAGCACAGAATACTTTGGATCTGTGAACTTCATCTCTTTGGGGGGGTCTTATAAAAGGTGTCATGATATTCCAGGTCATGGACTACCCTATGAGATGAAGGATGCTTTAGCTGAGATTCCTGCATTACAGGGGGTTGGACTAGATAACGCTTGGGTCCCTTTCAACTCAAAGATTCTATGATGCCACTTCAAATAAAAGAGTATATGATAGGATGCCATGAATGAGTGACTGCTGCGGGTCCTGCCTTTTCTCAATGAATTCTCAATGAATGAGTTGTTGGAACATGACACAATGAGCCTCTTGGCTTTTGCCCCTTAATTTACAGCTCTTCACAGCCTTTGCTGAAGGCAGGGAGAGGTGGCAGGTGAATAGTTGTCAGCTGGAAGGGGGAAGATAGGTATGCCAAGAAACAGCCGTGATGCTAAGGGCCCATATATGTGTTGCCATACAGAAGGCTAGGAAACAATGGTGGAATCTACACACATATAAAAAAACACGGTGGAAAAAGCTTTTTTCAAAAAACATTTTGAAAAATATATTGAATTTACCATAGCTCACCATCGCCACCTAGTGCCACATTTTTATACTGCACTTTGCAACATTTTATTTGTGGGTGTATAACTGAGTCCAGTGGCTTTCAGTTTCCATTTGCTCCTTTGCATGTCACTGCAAGTGTCTCTAATATTCTCCAGGTTATTGCTTTCTATTCATCTTCCTCCCAATCAGCAGAGGTGATAATTTAATGTTGTTGCCCTAACAGGGTAGTGTGAACAGACCACGGAATCTATGCACCCTGGAAGCACCTGAGTTACAAACCTCAGCAATCCAGTTAAGGGGAGTTGACAGATGCCAGAGCAGGGTGATTGCTACTTAATGCAAGGAGGAGAGGAGAGAGAGCCCTGCTTAAACCTGAATACTGCCTGTCAACTAATAAAAAATGAAGTTTAGGATTGGCAGCACCCATTTCCAAAATCTATTACTTGCCCATCTCCAGCCCATTAAGATAAAGAGCAGTGAATGACTGGGATGGGAGTAGGGATGACTACAGTAAGACAAATGAGAGCAGGCAGAAAAGCGTTATCCATCACTACGCAGATAATAACAGCCCTTTCCTTGTATCTAATTTTGGCAACATGCTTTCTGGTGTGTTTTCCACTTACTTCTCGTCTAACCTCAGACAACTTTTCTCCTTTGTTCAGTGCAGAAGGTTAAAAGCACCACCTTCCTATTGCCTGCTTTCACGCCAGCCATGCCCCTGATAGCATCCCAAGTATTTTTCATTCCTCTTGGCTTATGTTTGCTTGTGTGGTCCTCCTTTCAAAGTGAATGGCTGCTCTCTGAAGCAAGGAGAATTCACAACGGAAAGAAGAAGAAATAAGCAGGTTCTCCCTACTTCTGGGACTGTGTGCAAGATGAAAGAAGAGGAGTGTGGCTGTGCATCTGATCAGGCATTTCGATACCATAAACAATGTGGGCTGCTCTCTGCTCCTTAATTCCCCTCGGGCCCCCAGTTATTTATGATGAGATGCAGTCTTTGTTGTAGCTGGTTATTTCAATTGGCCTTGTTTTATTTTGCTCTTTACAACATGCGGTTACTCACTTGGGGCAGACTGCAGGATAGAAATTCAAGTAAGGAAATAAATAAACTGAAGGGCTTAGCAGGAAGAGGTAAGAAGCTCTTGTTATTGTTTGTGTGTCGGTTGCAAATTGGCCCTGAAAACACTTCATGGGTGCTTTGCTTTCAGCGCGTAGAAAAATATACATTCTTGAGGAAAATATAAGGCAGGTTAATCTGATACTGCCATGGAGAGAAACGGTATGTATACACCTACCCATACCCACTTACCTGGGAGTAAGACCCACTGAATTCATTGGGACTTACTTCTGAGTAGACATGTAGGGATTGTGCAATATCTCTTGTGGAAGCAGCCTAACAGTGCAATCTTATGCCTATCTACTCAATAGTAGATCTCATTGAGTTCTGTGGTGTTTACTCTCAGGTAAATGCATGCAGGATTACAGCCTAATAGTATGGTCTTGGGTATGTTTACATGGAAACAAATTCTGTCTATTTGTTTGAATTATAGTTTGTTTTTTTAAAGATGTATTGCATGACTGAAAAATTGAAACGGCACAATAACTTTCACAAACAGTTATTTTTAATGTCTGCTTCCCTGACAATTAACCAATAGGTTCTTTCAACAATCTTGGAAATACAATCTAATTGGTTCACCAATCAGAGAAGTGCCACTTGTCATCTTCAGATGAAGGCAGGGGAGGGGAGCAGAAAAGTGATGAAACTTGTGTGTTTTAAAAAAATGTAAAAATCAGGACTTGTAACAACTAGTCCTATAGTTATCATTTTAGGGTAGGGTTTTTTGTGGTGGGTGGGTGGTCATTGCATTTTGTAAAACAAAACAAATCATGCAGGGTTCACTTTTAAACTTCAGAGGGGAACTTCATGTGACCTTTCTGAGCAGGAAACAAGTGATGTCAATATTGTGAAATCCAAACAAGGCTAACAAATTTTGTGTGTAGTCAGTATTGAGATAATCATCAGTTCTGCTTTCTATCACTGAGGACTCTGAAAGAGCCATGCAGTCACCATACGAATCCAACGCTACTGAAAAAGTTCAGCTTCCCTTTATAAAGCAACAACCAGTTATGGGATGGTTTCTTTGTGCTCCTTTGTCAGAAAGTTTAGCAGGAATGGCTGAATTCAACAGACTGCACTCATGAACCTCCAGCAACATAAAAGTAAAAAAGTTCTGTTTCCCCCCGCCCTTACAGACACGCCTGTATTGCATGCTAGTTACTACAGTTTTGCAAGGTGTTGGTTGACCACACCCGGCTTATTTGTAAAATAAGGTTGGGTACTTCTCTTTACTCCACATCCAGTGTGTCCCCACTGCTTGCTTGGGAAACAGTTTAAATGCAACGTTCGTTACAATCCATATCTATCCAGTTGTTTCTTATGAAGGTGCCCCATGATATTCTTGTAAAGAAGCTGGTAAAATGCGGTCTTGACTATGCTACCACTCAGTGGATTTGTAACTGGCTGACTGACCGAACCCAAAGGGTGCTCATCAATGGTTCCTCTTCATCCTGGAGAAGAGTGACTAGTGGGGTGCCACAGGGTTCTGTCTTGGGCCCGGTCTTATTCAACATCTTTATCAACGACTTGGATGATGGACTCAAGGGCATCCTGATCAAATTTGCAGATGACACCAAACTGGGAGGGGTGGCTAACACCCCAGAGGACAGGATCACACTTCAAAATG